AAAAAAAAAACTATACAAATACATACATGAATAATATAATAAGCTCATTAACGCCCACATGCTGCTACGAAACACCCAACACAGCTTAGCCTATTTAGGGGCGCCAGAACTTAAGCACTCCAATGCGTCGGCTTATCACCGCATACTACTACTAATACGTATGTATGTATGTACGGTGGCGGTAAAATAAATAGGGAAGAGACATTTTAGCAAGTTTTGACTATTTTTCTTTGTGTAAAAACAACATTAAACCAAAATTTCAAACTTTGTAGAATATTTGTAAAACTTCGACGAATTTTGACAAATGTTCATAAAAATTGTAAACTTCTTAAACAAATTTTTTAGAAGTTTTTGAGTACGCAGTTTTGTAGCCCATTAAATTTTAGTATCATAAACTGCAAGCCTAAAGTAGCTTGGACTTGCCGTTGTTTTTTGACATTTTTTTGTTGGCGCATTTTCTTCCACACAAAGCTCAAAATTTTAATGAAACTTTTTACGAATTTTTCTTATTTTTTTCGTTTTTTTTTACTTCCACATTTGGCAATACAAAGTTGTTGCGTTTCAAAAAAAAAATTTTATTAAAAATTGTTTTTCCACAAATATTTTTTATTGCTTGCTTTGATCTCAAAATTAAAAAAAAACAAAGTTCAGAAATTCAACATATTTTTTTGAAAAGTAAAAATATTAAAAAAAAATAAATAATTTAAAAATATTTTTTTGAAAGTTAGGTTAAAATTGTTTTTATTGTTCATGCAATTTCCGTGCAAGTAAGAATATAGAAAAATTTGTACAATTGCTAACTATATTTTTTAGTTTGACTTTTTGCTCCTTCAAATTCCATCAGAGCTGTGCGGCCATGCGTTCTTACGAGGGATGTTTCCGAAGTTCTGGGAATAGCTACTTAAACTTTACACTTTCTTATACTAAAATTGAATGGCCTACAACTGCAAACTCAGATTGTTTTTTATAAAACTTTGTCGAATTTTCCTAATTTTTGTACAAAGTTTAAAATCTTTACTTACATGGTTTTTGTTAGATAACGAGCTACATTTTCATATGAAATTAATAAACATTAAATAAACGAAAGGAAAATAGCGGAAGAATTCTAAAATGTCTCTTCCTTATTTATATTTTCGCCACTGTATATACATATGTATGTGGGTGCTTTAAGTATTATGCTCTCTGCGGCCGTGCACACGCATCTAGCTTCCCCTCCTTTAACCCAAATCTAACCAAATCTTGCTGCTACATATATATGTACACTCATTCGCCTCTGATGCTGTGCTTACAGTCTAGCTACATTTTTTTTTTCGTCTGGCTGTTGGCGCGTTTTGCTGTTGTTCTGCCTCCTCTTGTTTTTGTTTCATCTATTGAGTTATGTAGCAACTTAGGCATTACCTAGCCAACAACAACCGCATTAATGAAAAATAACAGACAGCAAATCATTGTTGGCGCTGGTTTATATGGCTCTCTTAAGTACTTAAGCACCTATTCATCTTCCGACATTCTCAAGGCGTTGTTTTTATTACATCTGCCTCTTCATATTGTATTATTATCATTATTATTGTAATAAATTTTAACGAACCCTCTACAGCGCATGTATGTACATATGTATATACATAGCTCGTCTGTCTACTGGCCCAATCTTATCTCGTCTGCCAAGTTTTCCACTTCTTTAGCCTTTTTAATTTCGCGGCAAATTAACGTTTAATAATTCAACATTAATTATGACAACAGCTAATTTATGTGAATTACTTTTATTAGTGAAGCGCAACTCTGTTATATTTCGATTAATTACAACTGTTCGCGCCCCCCTTTGCCACCCATGCCTAGGTAAATTTTTTGTTGTCGCTATTTTGCCATGGCGTCACCACTCACTCTCCCAACATAATTAATGTCTCCAGAACATTATTGCTGATAAATTTTTAATATTTGTTCAGTACACCCAAAAACATTTTGCCTTTCATTTCATTGTATGCGAATAATTAATTTATTTCTTTCCACCTTTTTTCTTTTTAGTTTCACCGACTCCTCATCGCTTAGTTGATTTGATATATTATATATATATGTGCGAGAATATTATCGAACGCTAATCCGTAGGCAAGCAGAAAATTAATGTAAGTCCAATCACAAATTTTTGCTGTTTATATAATTATTAACCGAGCTTTATTATAAAGTTGATGTGGTGCACTACAGATATGATAGAGCGCAGAAATAGCCATATTTTCTTAATAACAAAATTATAATTTTACTCGTTTTTAATTAAAAAAGCATATCACAGCCTTGCTGCATTGTCATAAATAATAACAAAAAAAAATAATAATAAAAAATTAAATTTGAATTAATTATTCAGACTTAGCTTGGTATGGTTTGGAGGTGTCTTCTATGTTGTGTAGATTTCATAGCTGTATCATCATTTTTATCATTGGAGCTGTAAACTTTAAAGCCGTTTTTCTCGATTTATTTTTTTTTGGATTATTACACACAATGCAGCATTTATTTCAAGAGCAAAGGGAGTGGGCTCATTTAAACCTTCTAACCCCTAACCAGTTAATTACATACAAATATACATATATATATATACTTCTTTACAGATTTAATAATCTATATTTAGAATCGAAATATAAAAAGTTAACATGCTAAAAATATAATACTGTAAAATATAAAAGTCGAAAAGTTACTTAAAAATAAAAGTCTCATAAAAAACTAAACAAAAAAAATTTAACAAAATCAAAAAATATTTTCAATAAAAATGTTGATTCTAGAAACTGTCATTTATCAAAAATTTATCAGTGTAGATTTGTATAATTTTACTTTTCTTCAAAATCGGCGGCCGCTGTGGGCGAGGGGTTAGATTCTAACCGTTAGAGCTACTAGGTGCAAGGTTCGATTCCTGGTGCGTGCAATATCCAAAGAGCAAACTTTATTCTTCTATTACCGGTGGTCCCTCGGCATGTGGTGGCAAACCTCCGAGTGTACTTCTGCCATGAAAACAGCTACACAATTAAAACCATTTGCCATACATGTAAGCGCCTAATATTTATATATTTTTATAACGATAATTATTTTAATGAACCATAACTCGAATTTATAACTTATAACTGCTACAGAAATGATAAATTTTTGTCATACTATTAGGATAATTCTGTTTTGTCATCGATACATTTTTTAGATGCGATATCGATTTTTTTAACGATAACGATATTTGTATTTAGAACTGATAACGTATGACTTTAGTGGTATGATGTCGTTATATTTTGTCAGGAATGAAATGGATAATTATTTTTAAAACGATTACATATTTTTTTTCTGCAGGATTTATATCGATAAACAGTTAAAAAAATATATTTTTTAATATTCGGGGCTGACATCGACAAGTTACTTCATAAATAATACAGAGAAGTTTCTGGCGTGGTATCGACTAATTGATGATGAGACATATGCAATATCGATACATTTTTTTCATTACGATGTCGATATTTTTTCGGAAATTATACCGGTAATTTGTATGATGTTGACAATTTTTTTAGGAACCATCGATACTTCTTTCGAAAACGATATACATATTTTTCAGATATAATATCTTAAATTCTTTCACAATAGATATCCCTTTTTTCAGAAAAGTTATCAACAATTTTTATCGGGACCGATATCGATATTTTTTGTTCAAAATGATAGCGATTAATTTGTTTTATCGATTTGTATGTATGTATGTATGTATTTGGAAAAATACTTGTGAATAATTTGTGCTATAATTGCAGTAATAAACTATTAATCGATAATGATACATATTTTGAATAAAACATATATGTACATTAGGGCGGGTCAATTTTTTTGTGACCTTGCGCGTATAGCATAGGAGAATTCTACTAGTAATTCTAAGTAAACTTACCGAAGAAACCATGGTTCCAAAATCAATCTGGAGTTTGCCGAATTGCGAATAGTTTTTGAAGAAAATATGAAAATTTTCACTGTTGCGCCTTCTGGTGGAATTTTCAGAAAAAGATAAGTACAGAAATGGATTCCTCATACCAACATAGCAGCATATTTTTATACAAAAATTAAGCACTTGTTTACGACAGCACAGCAAAATGCTAAGAAACCTATTATCGCAATTTGGCAAACTACAAATTTATTTTAGACTAATGGTTTCTTCGGAAAATTTTCTTAGAATTACAAACGTAATCCTTCTGTGATACACGCGCATAGTCGCAAAAATCTCACATACAAATTGACCCGTGCTAATGTACATATATATAAATATATATAAGAAAAACCTATTAAAAACATTGAAACCAACATCCTTAAATATTTACTTTAAATTAAGTAGCGAAATAGATAAATATTTTAATGATTTGGATTTTTTATAGACATTTAACTTCCCCAAGGTTTCGTTGTTGAATTAGTTTTCATAAGAGAGAGCGAATTTTTCGTTATCAATTTATCTGTCTCACTTCCACAAATATCGGCTTATTCGGACAGCTGTTCATTTTCCTGTCATTTAAGCTCGTTTAAATCGGCTATAATTACAGTTCATTTAATTGACTTACAAACGAACCGTTAGTCAGTAAATACAAAAAAAAAAACACCAACACTTTGAATCGCACATACGCGCTCTGGCTAATCAACTGCTCCCACCTAACCTCAAGCCGCAACTAGCCAACATAACTGCTATATGTACATTCGTACTAATTAAAGCTTAAACAACTACATACATATGTACATATATAGAATGCATACAATTAAAAGCGCCTAATTATCACCCTTCAACGCCACAATCGCGTAAAATAGTAAAATTGTAAATAATACCCGACTAACCACTTACAAATTTTATTACACCCAGTGGGGGTACAGCGTACGGCGGTACGTACAACCATGCAACGCTGTGTGCAAACAATGCAACAACAATAAATTCAATTCGCAACATAAACAGCCCATGGAGAGCGAACATTGCAGCGCCTGTACTGAACCGAACCTGAACTGCACTGAAATTGCAACAATTGTGCGACTTTGCGAAAAGTTTTCGGTTGAAAGCTACACAGCACAGCAAACAGCACATTTACATTACAGCCAACCGCAATAAAGTTAGTTGGCGCCTAGTAGGTCCACATACGCTCAAGCAGACACTCACACACACACACACTCACAGTCAGTTGCACGCCCGCTAGGGGGCGCGTATTTAAGCTGCATCGCAAATTCCAGCAAAATTACAGATAAACAAAATAAATCCCCAAGCGAATGCAGGAGGAAGAGCGTCGTGAGTTGGTGGGTGAGGGGAATGAGTGAGTGGAAGAACTGTGCAACATAAATGAACTCAGCGCCATTGAAAGGCAGTGGAAGATACATAGAAATGCCATCACGCTTTTGCAAGGGTCGGGGGTATAGTAAAATAACTGTAAATTTCAAATTAAGCCAAATCGCGCGTGGGTTACAAGCGCAAACACTCACTCACTCACTCAAAGCCAGTACAGAGTTGTTTTGCGGCAGCGAGCTGGCTAAAATGTTTTGTTAGTCCCTTAAAATCTCCCCCCCCTGTGTCCAGTTCAAAAAATAACATTTGGCACACTTTACCGTTTTACCGTTAGTAACCGCTGCGCACAGTGAGTGCTGCTGTAGTGTGGCGAAATTTTTGCGCAAAATTTGTTTGATTGTTTGTCCAACGCGCAGTGGCCAGGAGACCGCGAGCCAGCAGCGCAATGAAATGCTGGCGCTTGAAAGGAATTTTTGTGCAACAACGGTGAAGCTTAGTTTTCTGCTGCTATTTAATCTTTATTTATTTGTTATTGTTTTTTCTTTTGCTGCTTTGTAAAGTTATTTTCTCCATGGGGGTTTTTAGTGCAGGCGATTGTTAATTCTTTTATTAAGTTTTGGTAACAACGCTTGCTTTGGGTTGGGTAAGGTTAGGTTGAGAAGACTGCTGGTATTGCCTTTAGCATATCTGAAGGTTCTTTTGGTCTTTGGAAATAATTTTAATATCATCCGATACTCGCTGAGGGTACTCACTCAAATTATTATTTTTTTTACCTTTCGAATCATTATCTCTCACTATCGCAGGGTCAATGAGAGTCTCTTCTATTTTGGCATATTTTCCTACGTGGGGTTTTCAGCCGCGAATTAGTTGCAAATTGTTGCCAGCGCACATTACGTAAATGAAAATTTTTGTTGCATTACTTCTTTCACACTTCAACCAAATCTCGCTAGCCGTTTTTCATTACCTTGTGCCGCTATAAATGAATATGGAAGTAATCAGATAACGTGTGAAGTGAGACTCACAAAGATGTGCCGCTTAAAGGTGAATTTTATTGTTGCCGCTTCTTTGATAAATATTAAATTTCAAAGCCATACCATACCATTCTGGGCAAGACAAAACTGGCAATGATGTGTAAGGGCGAGCGAGAGATTAAGAAAAATAAAGAACTCGAAAGAGATAGCGGTGCTTTGAAAACTTGATTGCGATCTCAATGCTAAGTTGATTGACAATATGTCTTTACATTTTTGAAAAGTTACACCAAAGGGCAGTAAGCTAACCTTGGCTTGATGTGATAGATAGACTTTGGACTTTTGCAAGTGATACTCGAAGTACTATATACATAAACCACTGAACAACAATGAAATGGTGAGCAAATGAGAAACAACAAAAGGAAAGAGTAGTTAAGGGATTGAAGAAAGAGTATGTAAACTATTTTCTTTCAAAATCGTAAATATTCGTTTAAAAATTCTAAAGATGACATTTTTTTATTTTTTAAATTTTAATTGGTTTTTTTTAAACAAAACTAAGTAAAAAAACTGCACTTTTTTATCCAAATATTTTTTTTTCAATCAATTGAAAAAATTATTAAACAAAATCTAGAATTTTCTGCAAACAAATGTTCATAAATGTTAAAGATGGCATGTTTTTACTTTTTAATTTTGATAATTTTTTTTCTTAAAAACCTTTTCCGAAAAATGTTTAAAAAAGTTATAAGATGGCGTGTTTTTACTTCTTTATTTTGACTAAAAAAAGTAATCAATTAAAACAATTTACTTAAAACCAAAAATTCAGAATTTTTTCTTTGGAAACAAAATTATCACATCTTCTTCTTAACTTTTTTTAACTGTTTTCCGAGAACTTTTTTCC